AGAACAGGGGACTGGGTTTGCCATTACAGCAATTGATTATGCTATAACAGCGCTAAAGAAAGGTTAATGCTGCTATCCATATGAAACATTTGCAATAGGACCAGAACCCTGCTCCCTAAAACGACCAGGCAATAACTCTTTAAGCTAAGCTATTAAACATTTATACAGTTCCATAACGTTCTATGGGGCTCTCAAAGAGATTAAATGACAGTCACTGCCCCAATGAGTTTGAGACCCAATGCCAGGCATAAAGTGGAGGAAAGACGAAAACAGAGGCAATGTAATAAGGGAAGTCAGCTGCATTAAGTGGAGTAAAAAGATCTTGCATGTCAGATGCGTTTTTAAGCAGCTGCAGCTGACGAAGATTAAAGACCAGCATCAGTGGATCATCAAGACATCAAGTGACTCCTCTCCTGCCCCATAAAACCCTGAGGATTCTCCGAGCGGCCAGGAACAAAGACTGGCTGTGGACCTGGCCAGGACAGGTGGGTTGTATGTGAGCCCACTGGCACAGCTGCCCAGGCACACTTTGTGCACTAGCTACACTGGAAGAGACTTCCCGCCGGAGCCAGGACACAAATATAATCAACGCTCACTGAGCGCATGCCCTAAGTGAAAGCCTTGGCTTCCTCCAAGCAGCTGCTAGATTTCACCCGTACCAGCGGAGCATTTATCAGCATTAAATATTTATCTTGCAGGAACACAGCACTTGAAGGGACCTCCTGGCGGGCAACTGTACGGTTTAATCTTGTTCATAAACTTATCAGGCTCCATCTTACGCTGTTAGGGCTCGTATTCATCCTATGACTGACTGAGGCTACAGACACATGTCTTTTTAAACTGCTTTAGTTACCTCCAAAGAAAGCATCAGCTGTTAGGATTTAACTGGTAGGTTTTCATGCTCCTAGAGCTTGATTGCTTTTACCTTGCATTATTCAGGGGTAAAGTTGTGATGGTTTTGCTACTCCGGTATCGGCAGGAGCAAGCAGCAACCAGCGACATGGTCACAGTTTATACCAGGATCGTTCCACACGGATAAAGAATTAAAGAAAAATAGGGCTGGAACGGACCTCAAGCTGTCACCAACCCCCTGCTCAAGGCAGGATCGCTCCTGTCTAAACCATTTCAGCCAAATGCATTTTTAACCTGCTCTTAGGAACTTCCCAAGGATGGAGAGTCCACGACCTCTTTCAGTCATCGACTCCAGCGCTTAATGTAATATCGTGATATAACTGTTCTGCCTGCCTGTATCCTGGTACACCCAGGTCTTTCTCCTCTTCAGTCATTTCCGACTATTGAGCTCCCAGTTTTTAGGAAAAAATCGTGCTCTTTGATCTTCAATTGCTAATGCTGCACTTAATTCTTTTTTCACCCTCCTTCTTTTACAAATACCGAACAGAGGAGGAGGAAGAGCCTGGATGGCATCTGTCAGGGATGGGTTGGGAGCAGCACATCCTGCAGGGTGCTGGAGGAGAAGATGTCCCCTGAGTGCCTTTCCTGCTTTGGGATTCTGTGACTACTCCACGCCTCCAGGTCACCTGGTTCTTCCTGAACAACATCCTGATCCTCCTCAGCACCGACGCTGCCTTCCAGCTTTAGGTCACCTGCAAATTTCCTGAATGTGCTTCTACTTCCTGTTCTGATAAATGGACCTACTACGAGAGATCAGCCCCAAGACTGATCTTTGAGGAGCTCCACTAGTCATTTCCTCCAGGCTGACACTCCCTCTTTCGACGAACCTGGTGTGGTCTCCCCATTAGCCAGTGCTTTACATACCTCGTACCTGTTCTACCAAGCCTTATCTTAACTAATACGTCCCTAAGTGGAACCATATATCAAATGTTTCACTCGAGTCCAAATGATTAGATGTTTTGTAATTCCTTTGATGTGATATCAACTGTCTTGTCATAGAAATATCAAGCGAGTCTGGCATGACCTACCTTTGGTAGACCCATGCTGTTCCCTCCCTCCCCACATCTATGATTTATTACCATGTGCCCAATTATTTTTCCTTCAAAACATGTGCTAAAGACTCATATTATCAAGATCAGGCTGGATTGCTTTTTAACCCCTTCTTCCACATAGGCAGGACACTTGCTCTTCTTCACCTCTGTCTTGCTAACCACCTCTCACTTCAGATACCAGTTCTTTTAAACATCTGCAAGGGGGATTATCCAGTGTGACCCCCCCTGCCAGACTGAATGCATTGAGCTCGTTGAGACTTGCTGTCACTTTGGCTGTGGCAATTTCCATTGCCATACCCTCATTCTCATTAGCCATCATGCCTTTGCTCCCCAGGTCTTTATTGAGATCTGCAAGAGTTCTTGTTTAGTATATGTACCATACCTAGTTCTCCCACCCCATCCTTATAAAATGGCATGCAGATGCCATGGCTGTGACTGGACTGTGCCAGTGCTCCCACCAGAACTAACACCTGGCGGTTCTTGGCTAGAGGGTCTTGTCCTCCACCCAGGGGCAGACCAATTGCTGCATTTGGCATCAGGAATTTTATCCATGGTCAGACTGACATGGAAAGGTGGGTCGGGGGGAGGGTTTTACCTTCCTCTCTAGCAGGGGGAGTGACCCTCTGCTTTGGATCTCTCTCAAATGGATTTTAACAACCCATGCAGTGGCAGGACAATGACAATCCTTGTCCTCTTGCTTTCCTGTGGCAGGTTTGGGAGGTCTTGGGGCAATATGTCCTGTATTCATTGTGCAGTTTCAGAACTAGGTTAGGCAAGCACTTGTATGGGATAGTTTGGATGGGGTGATCTTGCCTGGAGCAGGGGTTTGGACTGGGTGACATCCAGGGGTCCCTTCCAGACCTAATTTCTACGATTCTTTTCTTGTTCTCTTTCTATGTATATGAAGACACTTTTCCTGTGTGTTCAGTATCCTTCTCAAGGTCCAAGTTGGCTTGACTGCCAGCAGTTCTCACTTTTCCCCCACACTTCCTGCCATCTAAACCATAGCTTTTTGTGATTTGTCCTTCCCTATTCCTTGTAGATCATCAGCTTATTCCTGGAATTCTTCTTGAGATGGTTAATCATACAGATTCCTCTGAAGCCCTTTCCTACCTATTTCTCCCTTACTTTTGGGCTATACATTCCTGATAGCTTCACATTTCTTTAGATTAACAGTGTAAAATATTTCTCCACATTCAACTGTCCTTAGTCCAGCTGACTTCACTAACTAGCTCCTTTCGTTTTTCAAAGTTTTTCCTGTTGAAACTGAGAACCTACACTATGGACCTACTTTTCTTTATCCATTTAAACCAACTTGGCTGGGGATTTCTCAGTTCATGTTTATTTTTCAGGACCAGACCAGGATTCAAATTGATTCTTAAGGTACCTACACCTGAGCTTTGCATTTCTAAATGACTGGTTCCTGGCATGGGAAGGTGATTCAATGTGAGTGGGTTCAGCGTGCGGAAACCTGATACAATTAACAGGAGTGGTAAAGAGTGCCCTCACCAGCTTATTCTATAAACTGGTAGCTAGGGTATTCTTCTGGAAGTGGCAGATGTGGACTCAAATCGCTGTCAGGCTGAAGGGGTTCTCCTCTTCCTGGGTGAGTGGTGTAATCATTAGGCTACTGGGAAGAAGAAGGGTACCACCACTATTGTTTGCTACTGAGCTGCATCTTGGCATGGTCATTTGCCATGATCTGGATTGTAACAGAGATTAGATGGCAGTGAGGCACTTTGGTGACTGGTGTGGATTGCTTCTGAGCATGCGTAGCAGTCTAACTCTGGGTGCCAAGGCATATTTTTGGGCCAAGCTAAGGTATCTAATGACTCCATGTGCCTAGGCAGTTTTGTAGCAGCTGGACAGGGTTAATCTGGATCACCCCTTGAGACCTGGGTGCTTAAATTCTGCCCAAGTCCTGTTTGGGGACTTTCAAGGTCCATTACGACCTTGCTTGTCCTGCCCAACCCCAGTTTCCTAGCCAGATGAGGTACAGTACTTTCAGCAAGTTTACTGCTGACCCAACCACAGTCTTCTTATCATCCTATGCTCCAATACTCCTCATCCAGTGTCATATCCTCACTTACTTGACTTTTTCTCTTCCTGCAGACTAAAGCCAGGCATGGAGTTTACACAAGTTTCTCCCAGTCTTTTGTCTTCATTCCTTAGATTGAAGCTTTTCTGATCAATCATGCCAGACTCAACCCGAGCAGACCAGAAGAACAAACACCCAGATGGAGACCATCTGTTGAGAAGAGTCCTCTGTCCAAGCACAATTGCCAGTGGTCAAATTTCCTACAACCCCCTTCCAACCCCAGCTTTTGAGCCATTTGTTGTTCTGCATTATTTTAAGACACCGTTACCCTCCTTCTCTCGGGATTAGGAGATCCCACTGAAGATCCCCAGAATTTCCATTTCTTGTAGCATCTTCCTGAGCCTGTTATGGTCTTCTGATATCTGTTCTAGAGATAATCTAGCAGAATCATTGGTCCCAACCACAAAGGTTGATCGGTGGATTCTTCTCTGGTGCTACAGTGATCCTCCTTTTCAGTCTCGGGTCTGCTATCTTTGCCCCAGCACATAGCACACTGTTTTATTCTCTGGATCTGCCCTGGTGACAGTCCCGGAGAGATTTCCTCACAAAGAGTCCCCAGTCATATCCCCTCTTATAGTCTTCTCTATAGTACCTTTGTTTCTGCTTAGGCTTAGGCTTGAACTTGCTTTGATGCACCTCTTAGAGGCAAAAGGCTACACTGTCCCTTGTGGTTACAGATATTAAATTATAGACGCTTCGATGTGATAACGGAAAAAAGAGCTGTTCTTACCAGCACACTGTCTGGGTTATGGTTAGATTTGTAAGCCATTTTGCAAAGTTGTCTGAGCTGAACTGGAGCACTCAGCAGCAACAGTGGGGACATGAATGTCGTGTCACATAACTTCCTACCATACTGAACTCTTATTGCATTTTTTTTGCAGTCCTACATATTTTAAAATACACAAGATACCACTCTGTGCTAGCACACAGAGACTCACCTAGTTTCACTTGGAGTGGGGACGGCTTATAGTTCATGGCTACAGTCTCTCCTTCTCTTGTAGCACAGTCTCTGTCAGAGATGGATGCAGCTGTTGGATCCTGTTAAAAAAAAAGACAGACAGACACGTTTTAGCAAACACAGATAGACAGTCACTTCTCTAATTCACTGGTAGGCAAGGCCACTCAGTATACAGGTTTGGTAGGGAACAGAAAATAAGTCTGCGCTTTAAGTTAAATAAAACCAGAGACAAACACTCTACAACTTTAGAAGCAAGTTTAATGTTCAGGTCCTATTGGAAAATTTTAGCTTTCAACAACAGGCTTAGATGATGAATTGCACTAGGAATATAAAGTGGGTTTTCTCTACCTCTGGGTCAGCAGGCTGGCAATAAGACAAAGACATTCCTATTTGATGAGTGCTTGGTGGCCTGAGTGCAATGCATTTGCAGCTTGAGTCCAGTTTCTAACTGGCATGAACTGCCTGTCTGGTGGCAGGCCTCAGCAAAGCCAACAACTGGATGAACATGGAGGTGAAACATCTGGTGCCTGTAGGGTAAAGGCAAATCAGTTTTTACTTCCCATTCTGGACCCACATTGGGTGTAACTATGGGGTCTTGAGTATCTGTCCATCAGCAGTAAAATTCTTCCTGGATGCCACAACAACCAACCGTCACCAAAAAATGTGATGTCTCTTTTCCTGGGAAATCAAGGTCTTTAGAAAATCCAGTCCTGGTGATAGTGTATTCTACAGCACAGTCTTTTGCTAACCATGTAAAATATGCAGGCTGCCAATTCACACAATCCCATCAGTGATAAAACATTTAACCACCATTCATTGCAGGCTTCAAAGCTACTGAAGTTCTCCCTTTCTGGCACCAGGGCAAAAATTAAAATTGGCTGTCAAAAGCATCCATTTCTTCCCACCTAGGAGGGAAAAACTAAGACAAAGACATTCTGATTCACAATAGGTAGAACTCCATGGAAAACTTCTATCTATTATTAAACGCCAAATATTCAAGGAAAGTGTCCTCTTTTATTTCACCGGGTGCAACAGCTTTGGATGCTAATACTGGCACTTACCATTTCATATACTATAATCAACATTTGCATTCTCTCCATGTCTTGAGTTTTGTTTTTGGCAAGGGCAAAGTTTATTAATGCAAAACTCAAGAAAGAAAGAAAGAAAAAACCTGTGCAATTCGGTGCTTTATGACAGTGCTTGCAAGGAGCTGAGAAAGATTTGAAAAGGGGGCTTCTCTTCTCTGCTGTTAATGAAGCTCCCTTGGGGAACCATTCCCAGAATGTCAACGCCCTTGATCCGACTGTTACCCCCCTGCTTCGTGACCTCTTCGCTATGCATGGAGGAGGTTACACCTTTTGAAGAAAGGGCGCTCGTGAAATAAAAGTATGTCAGTCCATTAAGGCTCTGCCTTAATAGAGCTGGGACTCTAGCAAATTTAAGGTGATGATATTTTACCAAGACTCTCTTTATTTGTATTCTCTCAGCGATCATTGCATTTCACGACTAGCAGAACTTTGTTCCTTACATTTTTCATCCAAGGGTTTCAAAATACCTTACGCATAGTTCTGCAGAACACGACTACTCGTTGTACTCGACACCTGTGCAACCCCAGCTGGGGAGGAACACGGTAGTGGTTCCACCAACGGCGCACAGAAACAATAAAGTACGGGTAGTGAAAAGAACAGCCCCCAGGAAAAGTGTAGCTAGACAAAATGTGATGGGTTTTAGGTGCCACAGCATGGTTAAAATTCCTGCTCTTAGGAAGAGAAACCCCAGATCTCTAATAACCTCAGGTGTTCAATCTGTTTTACAATTGCAGCTGAAAGGTGGATTACCTTGATGCCGATATAAAGCAGAACCGGTCTTTCAAATCCACCTACCCAATTAAGCTGGCCATGTTACACGCCAGGTGTGTGACAGGATAGCGACTGAAACGTGCACATTGTAAATGTGATTTTTTCCCCCAACGCCGGTCTCTCCGTCATGCTAGAACAGAGACAATCGGGACGAGATGACAGCTAATTGGGGATCTGATGGAATACTTCATTTTATAAAGCTGCCACAGAGTGGTAGGGCAGCTGCTCTGCTTCCAGTACAAATGAACATCCTGAGAGAACAGGTGAAATCTCCAAGCACTATCTGACATCTGTTTGTCACTGAAAAGTGCATTTGTGCTCTCCCAGGTGGGGATCCTCCCTGGGAATTAGGCATCTAGGCTAAGGAGTCACAAGTGATATTTAAAAACCTCCCTAACTTGCATGGAAACTGAGGGAAGGGAGGTGTCTACATACCCAGGCCCCAGCGCTGAACTAACAAGACAAGGTAAGTTCACAGTCTGAGCCAACGTCCAAAGTTTGGGCTGAAAAGCAGCCTGAGAAAGGAACAGGTGTACTGCATCCCGGGAGACTGGCTCACGTTATGGGGAGCAATACTGGCAGTGCGAGCAGAACAGCCACCGCCCCGACAAGTGCTGCAGCGCTGCAGCCTTCTGCTCCCCAAGACCGCGCAGACCGGAAATGAAAGCCGAGCTGGACAGGGGGCAATTCTCCTAATGCTACTGCATGCCCCTGGCTTGGGAGGGCAGAGGCGCTCCGGTACTTCCCACCGATCATTTTACATACACTTTGCAGCAAGGCACAAGACTCCATAGTCACAAACCTGACCGAGAGAGAAGGAATCCCCACGGCATTTGGGTTGGAATTGCCGCTCCTTAAATGGATGAGATCTGTGCCTGTGCATAGGGAACAGGTTCCTCCTCTATAAATCCAATGCTGCTAGAGAGTCATTTACTGGGCTAATTAGCTTTTTGCTTGCAAAATGCCTACAAGCAGATTGAGATTCCATCACATTTACTTGCTATTAGAATTTACTTTTAGCTTTTTTTCTTTTTTCTTTCTTTTTTTTGAAGAAAAAAAAATAACCCTCCAGATTGATACAAGCATTAGTGTAGTCTAAGCTCGAAATTACAGCTCGGCCGTATAACAGATCGTTGGTCACGTGGCATTATTGCTGTTTGCTGACTGGGATGAACAGAACGCTTTGCATCAGGATGAAAGTCTGCAGCTGCTGCAGGGGGCTTTAAATCTTTCAGATGGAGCACCCTGGGGAATCGCAGGAAACATTAAGCTTTTTCATTTCTGAGTTTTCTGGTCCCTCATTCTTGGAGGAGGAAATCAAGTGATCCCAAGAATTGCTGCTCGGGTGCTCAAATTCTCTCCGCCTAACTGTGCGTGCACCATCGCACTGCCCAAATGGGGGGACGGATCCTTGTTGGGGTTTTATTTATTTCCCTCTGTGTCAAGGCTCTGGCAATGGATATTAGAAACCCTCAGCTCCTGCTGTATCCTACTGGTGTATTTTGCATGGATGCTAACATTTCACATCTGTAAGCTTTCCTGTTGCCGGAGCAGTCAGGGAGAGCTAACATGAAAAAGGCCACGGGGCTGGCTGCAGCACAGTCTTTTTTCAGGAGTTTAAAGGCATACACAACACTCATTTCCCTTCCTACTTTGGTGGGATTTACCCAGCTTTAGGAGGAACACAAGACCTGCCACATCTGATCTGACCTGCTGAAGCTGACGTGCAGACAGCAGCCGATGCTCAGTGTTTCACAAGGAGGCAAAAAAGAATGAGTGCAACCAGCAAAGAAGTTGTGCAACGGCACCGTGCCATCTACTCGTCGCCGGCTGCCTTGCTTTTCCACGCCTCCTGGAAAATGCCTCTGGTCCCCGGGGGTCTTGCGAGCATCCTCTGCCTCCCACCCTATGACAACTTTGGGAAGGAGCCAGTTAGACCAGGCAGCCCCACACACAGGGGGTTGACTGTTCGGCTGGTGTGATTCCAGTCATGGTGAGCTGTCTGTTTGTAAAGCTCTTGACTTGGGTTTTATTTCGCTGAACACCAAATAGCAGCAGTGAAAATTGTGTGGCCTGGTGTGCTCAACCCTCCCTAGTGCTTGGATGAGCCATATCCCAGACTGGGGGAAATCCAAAGGCTTTGTAAGGCTGCTCCTCCTGGCCACTGCTGCAAGCAAGACAATTTCACGGTGAGCTCCTGCCCCCTAAAATGACAAAGCAAGGAATGAGATGCAGGCTTCAGCGATCACTTTACTCAGCAGTTTGGAGACGCCAGCTTGATAATCAGAGGCTGAATCACTGTGACCTACTTGCTCATTAGTGTCACACAGTTAGAACGGTTGCACCTAAAAATAGCTGGGCGTTAAGTGCTCGTCTGCCCAACTTAAAAGTGCTGAAAGTCTGAGTACCGGGATGTGCCCAAGACACACTGCTGTAGGCAATTACCACTCTGCTCTCCTGGGACAGCCAAGGGAAGAGACTTGCACTTGCAAAGGCTGGTTTTGTGGCGTCTTGCTCTGCAAACTCGCACTAACAAGGAGGTGCAGGAAAGCTCGGGTGAGCAGGCACTTGTATCCAGGGTGCTCACGTGTGACAACCCGGCTCTCCAAGGACAGCAGAGGACCTGCCATCCCTGCCAGGGGTTCTCAGAGGATAGAAAATACCCCTACCACCCTCCAAACATGCGTGCCTTTTCTTCACTTCAAAGCACATGGACAGCTTGGTAGCTCTAAATGAGTGACTGCATCAATCGTGTTTACAGCTCTGCTCTGCTCACCCATCCAGTGCCGTACCGGTTAGATGTTTTTACATGCTTGTCAAGTCCGTCCCTGTTTAGAGTTTGAGCACTTTGGGGTAAAGCTCTGGACTGTTTTTCTGCAGGGCATGTACTCCATTGCAGCGGGGTGGAAGACTTTCAACCACCCAGGCTACATCTGTTCCATGTATACAAAAAAGACTTCAGCATTTGCAGCTCAGCCTGGTGGCTTTCCAAACTTACTTGTACAAAACCCAAGCGGGAGATGACAGCTACAATGCTAGGGTTAGTCCAGAGCAGGAGAAAAATTAGAAAAATTATTCCACACCTTCCTGAGGCAAAGTCTGACTCTATACCAATGGCTTCCAATGGTTTTAGACTCCAGGCACCCCTCATCAGACGAAATTGCCATTATGCCCTTGTAGTATTTAAAAAAAATCAACCCTGCAGAGATAAAAAAAACCCAGGGCATAAAGCTGTATGACCAGATAATCGAACAAGAACTGAACGGTGCATTAAAAGGCATTACACGAGAGACCCTGTGATACATTTAACTTCATCACAGATGAGTAGCTCAGGCGGTAGATTTTTGCTTGGTTTAAAACCAGATTGGCGACAGATATGTTTATATGTTTACATGTGTACGAGGCAATGCATACCCAGACATTTGCCCGCTGCAATATTTGGGCTGTGGTCGCTGCACAAGACCCAGGGAGAGAACAAACTCCTTCAGTTTTGCTTGTCAAAGTGACGGTGACGTGTAACAAGTGTCTAGAATAAGCCGTGAAAAATGAATGACACATTTCAAGCTTCTGTTTTCCAAGTCCCCGATGTTAGCGGTAGCATAGGAGAGATTTTACTTTGTCTTGGGGAAAAGAAAGAAGACATATGGCTTAACTGAAGCATTTCAGATACAGGGGAAGGATGAATTTCGAAAGCTGAGCAGTTTAGGGAAGTGATTGAGGGACAAAGAAGAAAAATGGAAGTAATTATAGGAT